AACCGAAATTGTTTGGCAACGAGATGGATTGGTATGAAATTCTTCAGGTCGAACAGACAGCTGGTGATGCAATGATTAAGAAGCAATATAGGAAGTTTGCTCTCCAACTTCATCCTGACAAAAACAAGTTTGCTGGAGCAGAAGCTGCATTTAAGCTGATTGGGGAAGCTCAAAGAGTGCTTCTGGACAGAGAGAAACGATCCCTTTTTGACATGAAGCGCAGAGTTCCAATGAACAAACCTGCTATGTCACGTTTTAGTTCTACAGTGAGGAGCAATGTTAGGCCCAACTTTACAAGATCAAATGCTCAACAGCAGCAGTCTAGGCAGCCAGTGCCGCAGCAGCAAAATGGTGTCCGCCCTACATTTTGGACAGTCTGCCCATTTTGTTCTGTTAAGTATCAATATTACAAAGAAATTTTAAATAAATCTCTTCGTTGTCAAAATTGCAGTAGACCCTTTGTTGCATACGAAGTGGTTATAAAAGGTACATCATCGCCAGCAACTAATTCAACACAGCAAGCTTCTGACCAGCGAAAAGATGGTTTAAATCATGGTGCCTTCAAGGCAGGTGCTGGATCTCAAGGCAATTCACATGCTGAGAAGTCCAATACTGGACCATATGATAAAAAAGGACCTACTAATGTCTCTGGAAAGCACAATGGAAAGAGAAAGAGGAAGCAGGTGGCAGAATCCAGTGAAAGCTTTGATTGTATAAGCAGTAGCGATTCTGAAGGAGATGCAGCTGCCAGCAAGGGTGGTTTTTCTGGTGTAGAAAATAGCTCAACCTTTAGAGAACGGCATCCGCGCAGATCTACAAGGCAAAATCATGGAGTTTCCTACAAGGAGAACAGAAGTGATAATGATGATGGCTTGGTGAAACCTTCAAAAAGGGGTCTGGAGAGCAGATCACTGCATGGTGATGGTAAAAGTCATGGTGAGACAATCAAAATGAATAATCAGAATGGTTTAGCTGGTGATATAAAAGATGGACATAAAGAGGTAAAACAGAAACAACATTTGTATTCTGAAGAGAGCTTGCGCAATAGAAAGGAAGAACTTAAGACAGATGCAGTGGGAGGGTCAAAGCAGATGGATGAAACTTCAGAGCGTTCTGGTCCAGCTTCAATCTCCAAAGTAACAAACCATCCAAATGTTTATGTCTTTCCTGATGCGGAGTTCAGTGACTTCGAAACAGACAAGAAGAAAGAATGTTTTGCTACTGGGCAGATTTGGGCTGTTTATGATACAACAGATGGCATGCCCAGATTCTATGCTTTAATCAGAAAAGTTCTGTCTCCTGAATTCAAGCTGCAGATAACATGGTTTGAATCACATCCAGATTGCAAGGATGAAATAAAATGGGTAAATGAGGATTTGCCTGTTGCTTGTGGGAAATTCAAAGTTGGTGACACTGACATCACTGAAGATCATTTGATGTTCTCTCATCTGGTTTTGTGTGAAAAGATTGGCCGTAATACTTTTAAAGTGTATCCTAGAAAGGGAGAAACTTGGGCCCTTTTTAAAAATTGGGATATCAAATGGTACATGGATGTGGAATCTCATCAGCAGTATGAATATGAGTTTGTTGAAATCTTGACAGATTATGTTGAAGGTGAGGGTGTATATGTTGTGTACTTGGCTAAGTTGAAAGGTTTTGTAAGTCTTTTCTTTCGAAATATGAAGGAAGATAACAAATCATTTCAAATTCCAAAACAGGAATTATTCAGATTTTCTCACAAGGTTCCGTCTTTCAAAATGACTGGTGAGGAAGGAGTTGGTGTACCTACAGGATCTTATGAACTTGATCCTGCAGCTTTGCCAGTGAATCTTGAAGAGACTGCTGTTCCTGAAAATTTGGATGTGAAGGTTACTCATAGTTTATCTGGCGATGAGAATACAAGGTCTTCCAATAGGTCAGAACCCAAGGTTAATTTGGAAAGAAGCAATTTGGCAAGAGAGAACAAGGATTCTGTTGATGACAGTGATATTAGTTGTGCTCCTCCAGCATCAAGCTCAGAAGCTATTGAAATTCCAGATACTCAATTCTTCAATTTTGATGCTGGGAGGTCCCTTGAAAAGTTTCAAATTGGTCAGATTTGGGCGTTTTACAGTGATGAAGATGGATTGCCAAAGTATTATGGTCAGATTAATAAGATTAAGAGCAGCTCAGATCTTGAATTGCATGTTTCCTGGCTTACTTGCTGCTGGCTACCAGAGAATACCATTAAATGGGAAGACAAAGATATGCTTATTTCCTGTGGGAGGTTTAAAGTTAATAAAACAGATGAATTTCTCAGTGTTTATAGTACCACGTCTTCTGTTTCTCATCAAGTTCATGCTGATGTTGTTAAGAATAAGAGTTATGCCATCTTACCGAGGAAAGGTGAAGTTTGGGCGTTATATAGAAAATGGACACATAAAATCAAATGTTCTGAGTTGGAAAATTGGGAGTATGACATAGTGGAAGTTGTTGAAGAAAGTGATTTGTTCATAAATGTTTTAGTTCTGGAGTTTGTTAGTGGATTTAGTTCAGTTTTCAAAGGCAAATCAAATGAAGGGTCGTCCGTCAACCTAAGAATACCCAGGAAAGAGTTGCTCAGGTTCTCCCACCAAATCCCAGCTTTCAAACTGACAGAAGAGCATGGCATTCTGAGAGACTTCTGGGAACTTGATCCAGGTGCGCTACCAGTTCATTACTATGGCTTGAAATGAAAGGGGCTGAGCCGAAGGCCATGGTTTACTTGGTGAGCAAAAGTTGGAGACTCAGTTTTCTTTTTTAATTAGATGAAACTAGTGGCAGTGCAGTAAGTAGGTAGGACAGCCTAAGATGTAACTTTTTGGTATTGTTCAGGCTAACCTTTTGGAAGGTTTTTCTGCATGTAGTAGTGGTAGGCTGCGAATCACTAACGGAGGTGAGGTTTGTTTACCAACAACTCACTTTACATATACAAGTCATATGGTCTTTCTTTCTTCCCCTAAGTTAGAAAAGATTGACTGCCATGTATGACGCTGGATTTCTTAACTTGCTTTCCAGGAATTCCGTCATGGCACGTCTAACACATCTCTCTGTCTCCCCCCCTCCCCTTCCTTTCTGCGTTTTCCAATCAATGATTTTAGGTATTTGAAATTTACGTGAAAAGCAAATCCAATGCTCAAGAATGGACCTTGGCTGTTGTAAGAAAAGAAAAAGAAAGGTAAAATGAATTAAACGTTTTTCATTAATCAATTTGTGTATTGCAATTTTTCTAACAATTCAATAATTTAATTTTTTTTAAAATGTTGAGGTATATTAGCTTTAATTTGTGAAAGAAATTTGATTTATTTTATGTTTTATTCTTATATAAGTACGAGTATAATATATTGTTTGTTTTTTCTAAAATTTCTCTAGTTTAATTTTTGCCTCAAATAAATAATCCAATTTTGGTCCTTTTTTTAAATTTATTTCAAATTGTTTTCTTTTTACCTTCAAAAGAATTTAAATAATGTTTTATAATCGTTTTTAAATGTTACATGAACTTATTTGAGAATCAAAATTGGTGTATTTTTAATTTTTAATTTGAAATAATTCTATTATTTTTTTGAGAGTCGTTGAATTTGGAATTTTAGAGAGCCTAAAAAGTAAAGATATTTTACATGCAAGTATTTCTTGAGAAAATTATCAAACCCTGCCGGAAAACATAATAGAAAACGCTAGCTTTTGAATTCCAACACCTTGAAAAATGTCAGTTGACTACTTTCTTAATTATTTTTTATTTGCACATATTTCAAACCAATAGAATTAAGATTTATTTTTCCTCTTTAAGGAGTAAAGATACTGGAGTGTGGCTACTAGAATTATGAATGATGGTCCCTTGAATAAGAGCCATTAACTAATTATTTAGAAGAATATTATATAAACAAAATGGACGGATTCCATTTAAAACCATTAATATTAAGCGATCATTAGAGAAGTGGCCGTTAAATAGATTTCAAATACTGTAGATTGTAGAAAGAAAAAAAAAAGTTTGTTTCATGTTAGTTAATAAATAAGTAAAAATGTTTTAATTCGATCAAAGGTGGGCATTTGGTCTAGTGGTATGATTCTCGCTTTGGGTGCGAGAGGTCCCGAGTTCGATTCTCGGAATGCCCCCTTTTTAGCTAACTATTTTTATTTATAACAACGACTTAACGAAGCAAGTTTTAAACAAAAAAGAACTCGAATTAACAAAGTTAGCAAAGAAACTAATGAGAGAAGACCTTATAAACGCGTTGAGGAACCTTCCGAAATATGGCCAACATGAGATCCAAGTAGAGAGGGAGTTGAACCAACACAAAAAACGACACTGGCAAACAAGTCACACCATATATCAGATAAACAGAAGATTTCACTCCATCTTCAAGGACAAAGTAATGTCCTGCACAAAACGATACCAATATTGATGCTATAGATGTCCAGAGTGAAGTCATTCCAAGCAGAAGCTTCCTTGGCAAGTCCATAGCAAAATCCTTTTCTTGGTACCGAGATGTCAGTATTGAAAGAAACAACACGAGTGCTGTCACCGATGAGCACAGTGCCACAAGTGATGCTACTGCGAACACTTTGAAAGCAGGTTGTCCACTCAACACTGGTGCACCAGTTACGTCATTGGCACCACCTGGTATTGCTGTTGAGGTTGTGAATGCAACTGTTGCAACAAGTGCTGCAACCAGTGAGCATGATTCAGAGGTTGTGGACAGCCATTTCCTCCCCTCTTTCACAAGATGTCCATGACTGTTGATGAAAACCTGTTTAGCTGTTTGTCCCTTGTTATTGTAACGTGCATAGAAATTTGGTGGCATGGAATTCTTAACAAGCTGAAAAAGGCACAAAAAATTATTAGCAACGGAACGTGGAAACTTGAATTTACACCATCTATAATTTGAAACCTCTAAAACCAAAGGTTAAGTGTAAAAGATTTGTTGGTGTCTTCTTTTGGAAGTAATCTTGTACGAAATGATAGGTTGTTTAGATTTACACACATCTCTACATTAACAATGAGATATTAAACTTTCATAAATTTATTTTTAGCCATCATCCAAAAAACCTTATATTAATAGAGATTTTATGTATATTTATAAAATTATGTTTGTTCTTTTATTTTAGTGATGCAAGATTTTATTTGTATCATAATATAAAATACTATTAAACACTTAATATTTGCATCTCAATCGACATAAATTCTTTCTTAAAAATAGTTTTGCTAAGGAGTGCCTTTTGATCGGTATGTAAATTAACATTCTAAAGTTATTAGGATTGAAATGAAGAATACTTCCTTATACCACTTATATTCCCATTTCTGAAAATAGTTTTGCGAAGGAGTGCCTTTTGATCAGTATGTAGATTAACATTCTAAAGTTATTACGATTGAAATGAAGAATACTTACCTTATACCACTTATATTCCCACTGCATTTGCATGGCAGCACCAGGGACACGCCAAGGCCTATGTTCCCTATACATGGCAGCAAGGTGCAATGCACTGTTACCTTGATTGTCTATGTGACGAAATGCAGTTTCCTTTACTAATTTCCTCTTTGTGAGCATCTTGTAGACACGAGGCTGCCTGTTCTCTATTGCCAAAAGAACAACATTCTTGTTGGCAGAGTCCACATCATGGATGGCCACTGGGAAGGTGTCAAGGATCTTCTCCACCATTTCATTCACTCCCATCTTTGCTGCAATTAAAATTGGTGACACTGACATCCTTCTCTTTTTCTCTATTTCTCCCTTGTTCATGTTGTGACTGTCTATGTTTTCCATACCATTGCCAAGCTGAAGAGCAAAGGAATTGTTTCCAGTATAATCATACTTGTACAAAGAAGCTCGCTCCATCAATTCATCCATCACTTGCTTAGCCCACATGTGTTTCTCCTTCCTTCGTTGGATTTTGTCTATCCAAGACGCTCCTGTATGTGTGTCACTCAATTTAGAGAAGTAAACTTACAAATTGGTGGTTTATATATATATATATTAGTCCACTTAAGACTACACACATCATTAGTACTTTACCTTTTGCTTTTTTTCTAATTCTAATTTATTATATGACAATGAAATGATACATGGTGATGTACGTTGTACATGTACTTACCCACACCAAAAAGTATCAGCAAGGCCTTCATCATTAAGATTAGAAATCGGATGAACACTTCCCAATTTGGAGGGAACCGTATGAGCTTCTTTTCTTTCCTTGTTCGGTCTTGCATTGTGTAAAAAAATATAGAATGTCAGCAAATGGGTATTCACTAATCGGTATTGACATTTTCACCAGCAGCTAACATGCATGCCGCAGTATATTAAGTGAAAATGAGGAAATAGAAGTTGCTTCAGTTAAGAATGCTAGAGTTTGCTTCAATATCATGAATGTAACACTTGAAATTCTTAGAAGTAAGAGTTTGATAAACTCTCTAATTTATGTTTAGTCCGAGGGTAGAGCCAATATCATGGTTTTACAAGAGGAAATAAAGGCTATTACCACACTTAGGGTGAGATGACTGTGGGAGATTCTCTTCATCATCAGTTCCAGCTTTACTATTCTTTGTGCCTATTGCTGTAACATACGATTGTAATGTTATTTATATAGACTGGTAAAAATAGGTAAAAACCAAACCAAACTGAATATATGAAACACACGCACTTATAACTTTAACTGCATTCTTCAACAAATATAAGAAGCTGTGGCATGTTCCGTAGTTCATTGGATAGTTAAAAATTTGTGCATCTCCTTTATTACTATTTATGTTCTCTGTTTCTTCCTTCAGCTCATCAACAAGCAAACCTGTCATAACCGTTTATCAGAAATATATACAAGAAACACTACAAAATTAATATTTGTGTATCCTTAAACTCAACCGGTTTTGGCATGTACGTGGGATGAAGTTTGTTATTATCTATATTATGCATAAACCGTAAATTGTCAAAAAAATATCTTCCAAAAGTACCTTTGTTTTTATGTTTTTTTTTTTTACGAAAGCTTTAATTTTATTGATCTCTTACTTTTTTTTTAGAGAAAATTCACGCTTTTAGGTTTTTCAATAGGTTTTAAATTTAATTATTACATTATTTTTTTCTTCTGAAAATTATCGTATTTATTCATAATTGTAATCAAGCTTAACATGCTTTTTGGTAATTAAAATGTTTGTTAGATGATAATTAAAGTCATTTAAAAGGATCATAGAAAATAAATTAATTAACTCGCAAGACAAGTAAAACTAGAATATTCTATTTATAAAGCCATTAATAGTAAAGCCATTTGGGCTGGTGAGCGTATTGATAGGCCTACAAAGAAAGATACATGTAATGTAATTTTATGCAAAAAAAAATCGCACGAAAGTTGTCGTACAATCCAGCAATCTACACGTTATTTGTTTGTTATTTGAAAGGTCTGTTATGTCAGAGCATTTAGAATTAGAGTTAATTATAAGCAACTTTCAACCACTTTAAATGAGTTTCACTATATCATGTCATTTATAAGTAACTTATATTATATTTTTACAATTTTTGCTCTAATGAAAATTGCTTATAAGCGTCCCTATTTTTTTACAACTCATACTACACTTTTTGATACCTTACACTACACTTTTTTCAAATTTTCTGTCTATGTTTCACCTTGGATCAAATCAACCAATCACACCTCTTCATTTCAATTTTCAGATTGCTAAGTACCATTGCTTGTTGAAGCAACATAGCTAAAAAATCTAGAACTTGACTTGTTACATAGGATGACTCCAATAAAAATTTCTTATAAGCAATGTTGCTTATTTTTAAGATACACAATAAGCACCCATTGAAGGTGCTCTTAAGCATTATCTAAAAGTACAATGTATCAAAAATAGTAGTTTATTTTTTGAACCACTATCAGTTAAAAAATTATAGAAGATCTGTTAGGAGATAAACTAGTCTGCATATAGTCTTAAATTCAAATCTTCTCACCATCTTTATAATCTTTTTCTTTTATAAAAAAATTAAAAATTTCTTACATTTGTATTCTATTATAAAATTCATCTTAAATATGTTTTTTTAAATCAATTATTAAAAAAACTAATAATTTTATCTAACAACGTTGGTGTTTTTAATACTACTTTTCAATTATTTATGCCTATAATATACTTTCATTAAATATCAACATAAAACTCCCATTGTAAATGAAAAATAACATTGAAAAGTAAAAACAATTATAAAATTGCATCTGTTCATGATGCGTCATTATAAACTAGTTGGAAATAATTAATCTTACAATTATAGATCATACGATCCAAAAACTCCATCCGCGTGCTGCTTTTAAAACAATTAGGCTTCATTGCAAGAATATGAAGAGGTGATAAGCCATCCTTATTGACAGAGTCCGCAAGATTTGGGTACAAGCGGATTATTTGAAGTGCCATACCTAACAAATTCATCAAACTTGAGTTACCATATATAAAATTTGAAACAATTTTAGCATATGAAAGTGTGACAACACTAACCAAAGTATTCATTAGAGATGGTAGAATGAAGAATCGTGTCCCCATTGCTCTTAACACATGGCGAGTAATCATCTTTGTCTTGAAGGTGACCATGGAGACAAAAGAACGCAGCTTTGGTACCATGAATAGCTGCCAAGAACAGAGGGGTCTCGCCTTCAAAATTGTGACACAAAATGAGTTTTGGGTCTCTTTTGGCTATAGTGTTGCAAATGTCCACATTCCCAAATTCTGCTGCTAAATGCAGAGGAGTGTTTCCCTTTGAGTTTCGTATATTTAGTATAGAGAGAGACACATCTTCGTTAATGTTCTCAAGAAGGGTCGTTAAAAAATTGGTTTGGCCCACATAAACAGCGATGTGTAAGACAGTGTCTTCTGCTTTTGTGACTTTAGCTTCCAACGCTCGAGGGTTGTTCTTGTATGCATCTAACACTTCGCTCCATTGCCCCTTCATGGCATGATTAAACAAACTTTCAATCTCAACTACCTCCACCATTTTTCAAGTTTGATCAAATGTTTCGACAAACATAACCACTTGGTTTACGTGCATATAAACCTGTATGTCCAATAAAGTGCCAAGCATTGTGTTATATATTACTGACATACTACCACTTTTGCAGATTATTATATGGATTGTATGCATGTTAGAGTAAACTGTAGGAGGAAGCAAAGAAATTATATTACAATTAATTCTCGTGCAGGGAGGCTCGTGGACCCCCCACAAAAGCCAATCAGAATGTGGAATGAACAAGTAAGTGAATACCAAAAGTATGAATTTTTTGTTTTATATTTCCTGCACAGTACTCATCAGCTAAGAAATAAGCAATACTATGGGTTATATCTTTTAAGTTTTGCCCAGTTGACATTGTTTAACTTGCATTTCTTTCTATGCAAGACAAGCATTTTCTTGATGTTGAAGGAGATTTAGATTCCATTATACCTCGGGCATGCCAAAAGGTTAAATGATAAAAAACATCATGCATGTTCTTTTCCCCAAGATAGAAAACTAATCTTCTGAGACCAACTAGTGTGTATATCCACACCCTTTGCTGAAAGGGAGACATAACAAGAAGAAGAAGAAAAAAAGAGACAAAATAATAATGTAACAGTGATATAATACAAAAAGAAAAATAGTGAGGATATAAAGTAGATGTAAAAAATAGTGTAGAAAAATCAAAATTAATTCCATAACCAGTATTAATATTATCTATGTCATAATTAAATTTCATTAATTCAACTATTTTGATTTAAGAATTTTCACTAATTAAATAGTTTAAAATTTTAAATCTACAAAAAATTAATTCAAAAATTATTTCACATTTCATCAAGAATAATATACTTTTTAAAGTATAAGCAAATGTCAGTTATAAGATTATCCACATATATATGCTGTAAAAAAACATATACAAATATAATGTTTAATTTATCAAAAAGTGGATATTCATTATTATTAATATATACTTATTTGATATGATATTAGATAACTAAACTTTTAAATGATTTAGTGGTACGAATTGAAATAAGGGGTGTATCTCCACTAAATGAGAGGTTTTGGTACTGTATCTAATATATATGTACACATCATTTAAATATCATGTCAGTCTTTTAAATAAGAATTATTTTGTATTTAAATTTTTATATTATTTATTTTTAAGTTTTTATTAATATTTTTATAATTATACCATAGTAATTCTTGTCTTCGTGCATTGTTGATCTCTATTGTTCTCCTCCCCTCCGTCTTCTTCCTCTATTCCCACCTCTCCCTTACCAAAATGAACTTTCCCGTGATTCAGTCGAAAAAGTTCGTACTTTTTTTTTTTGTGACATTTATCGTGTAAGAGTAATGCTAACCTAAACGTTATCAATTGAATTTTCTGAATGCATAACTCTCCGTCATCAACGTCACTTTCCGTCAACCCTCCGTCACCCCAGCGCTACCTTCACTTTCCACGGCCGCTTTGATGTCCTCTCCCTCTCCGCCACGCTCCTCCTCCACGACTCGCTGGCAATCGCGCTCTCCGCCTTCGCCAACCCGAATGCATAACCAACGTCACTCTCCGTCAACCCTCCGTCACTCCCGATGCCACCGTCACTTTTCACGGCCGTTTTGATGTCCTCTCCCTCTCCGCCACGCTCCTCCTCCACAACTCGCCGGCAATCGCGCTCTTCGCTTTGCCGTCTCGCTCGCCGGCCTGCAGGGCCAAATAGTGGGCGTGAAAGAACCAGGAAGAGAGGGAAGAAACAAGAAGCCAGAAAGATTCAAAAAAAAAAAATGTGAATTTCATATTAACCATTTATCTGACGTGGATGTAAATTTTAAATAAATAAAAAAAATTATAAATGACTTGGATATACCCTTATTTTATAGAGGTTACCGTAAAAATTCTCTTGAAATAATACGTAAAGTTTCCGACACCCGAAACTTATCACAGTAATTCGGACAGATAAAAGAAACGTTAGATTTTCCAGATTTGTATTTTGAAAAGGTTATTAACCGGACCTTATTTGGAAGACTTGGTGAATTCATGGGGATAATATTTCTTTGCAGACATTTTACAAACTTAAATTTCGTACACATGTGTTCGAGCTTTAGGATCAAAGGTAAAATATACATATCATTTGGTCTTCAAGAGCATGCTTTGGGAAATGAAATTACAAGTTACCTTATTATTGACAAATGACAATATAAACTATATTTGGTATTCTATTCATGGATACCCCACTGCCATGCAGGACTCCCAAAATAGTCTATCTTCCAATTCATTCACAATAACTTCACCAATCCTTGTTTCTGCTTCATCTTCTAATGCAGCAGCTTCATTACCACAAAACTCAGCAAATCCTTTATAATCTTCGTGCCCTTCACCATCCTTAGGTAGGTCACATGTACTAATTGTGTCACAGCTACATGACTCTGCATCATCCTCATTATCATAAGTGATAGCTATGCTGCTAGGACACACAGTAAAGAAGGCATAGTCGTCTTCAGAATCTGCACTATCCTCAGCTAGCAACAAAGCTGACACATCCATTCTAATCACTTCTTCAAAGAAAAGTATGGGTAGCAAAATTTTTTCTCTTGTTTTACTTAATTAGTAACGCTATTTTATTAGGATGAGGGGCTGCAACTTCCTTAACGTACTCACTATCTATTTATGGTATTAATTGTAACCAAATGTTGGTAGATTTTTTTGCTGCCATGCGTGTCTATTATATTGATGTCATTTTCAGTCAAATGAAAAATTGATGCGATTGATTGTTGGTTGACATATCTAAAATTAATGGTGAATTTCAGGTCATTCATCCACTTCATTATTTGTAAGACTTTAATATATATCCGCATCTTTATTAGTGGCAATACTTTTGGCCTTATCATGCAAATGTTTAACTGATGAATATATAATATAGTTTATGCCAAGAGGATATTACTGTTACATGTGCTATAAGGCATATTAGGATCTGCCGACGCTTGTTATATCACATCACATTAGAGCATACTATTGCAAATTAAGTGATGGCACTAATAATATGTGCTGTAACGTCACTGGTAGTGGCATATATATATATATATATATATATGCAGAAGTTTCTTAATTTCACTTTTCCTTGGACACCAACCAACGGTAAATTATAGTGCGGCGGCAGTATGTTTTTTTGACTACTTTAAAAAACCATTGTTGGTTAATTAGAGGAAGAGACAACAAAAAAATTAATATTTTAATACTAAAAACCTATTGTTAATTTATATAAGAGTTAGTTCTTAATTTTAAGAAACATAGTAAGATTGATTTGAAATAGCTAAGCATTGATTTTTGTTTGGAACCACAAAATAATGGTCATCAAAAAAAAAAGTGAGCAATGATTGGATTAGGAGGGCATAGTCTTCTCTGAAACACAGTTGAAAGTGTGCAACTCCAATTGTATGTGCCCCACAAACTGCATGTTTTTTACATTTTGTTAAAGAAGTTGTACATGTGATACGTGTGTACAAAGTGAATATTCAATGACACAACTACAAGATCAATTCAATTAAGACCATGGGCCATGGCTGACAATTGAGCCCATGGGCTAAGATGGAGACAAGCGAAACCTTTTCCATCTTTATGAAATGAAAACAGGCCACATGGGCCTTCTATAGAGTACATAAGACCAAGTTATTTTTATTAATTAAAATTTATCATATCATCAACTAAAATTTATGATCATTATTTTATTTAACATTTTTCAATTTGTATAAAAAAAATTTACCTATCAATTTATCGTTTATTTTTCCCATTAATAAAAAAAATCAAGAAACTAACTTTCGTATTCTATAATTTTAGATGCATTTGTATTTTTAAATATTTTTATACCATCATTTTTTTATTTAGTATTTGTCAATTATAGATTTTATATATTGTTCAAAACATATTAATCTATACAATACAAACATATTTTTTTAAAGGAAAAAAGAATTTAAAAGGTGAGTCACATTTTCGCACCAACGAAGTAGAAGAGATTAGTCTCACAAAATATGGTTCTTATTCCAAGTGCCCAACTTTTATACCGGAAGTTATCTTACCTTAAAAAAGGTTTATTTAGTTATTAAAACTAAATTGACTTTAGAAGAAAAAAAAAATACTGCCGCGTTCATGTGGCATATTGATCGTAAAAATATGTAAAAGTTAAAATCAGTATATTATTCTTGTTAGTAGGCAGAAAATTCAAAGTATATTTGAGATATCAAATGGAATATATCAAGTAAATACTTTTATAATAAATTATAAATCCAAAGCTTTATACTTTTTGAGTCAGAAATTAATTATCTGTATATGTATGGTAAACTTATCCATTTTTATACTGATTACTTTAAAAATCATACATGAAATTATTTCTAGTTGATTAACAATATGTAAATAGATTAAGATGAGGGTTCAAACGATATCGGTGTAACTTTTATTAAGTATTATACTGGTTAATAACTTTATATTAGACGTAAATTTTGTAAATTTAACCATTGAATTATAACTTCATATCACTTTATATGTTTATATCAATTTTTGTTAAAATTGAACAATAACCTGAAAGTAATAAAAATATTTATATTTTATTATATTTTGAAATATATATATATATATTACATTAATTTTATTTTATAAGAATGGAGTATTAAATCATCTTGAATTAATATAAAATTTATATATATAATGTAAGAAAAATTATTGAGCAGTGTAATATTTAATAAAAGTTAACTCAATGTCAATAATTTTTTAAAACATTCTAAAATTTGAAAAACTGTGTCCGAAACGATGATCATAATACAAAGGTATCAACCGTCATAACTAACTACTCCCTCGCAAGTCGCAATCAACCAAAATAAAATAACCCTCCCCCAAAATAATTTCCAATATCCTTTTTATATTTTGTCTTTGCATGGCACTGCTTTGTTCTGACTTCATTGTTTCAATTCCATGGACAAGAACAAGAAAGTTGAACAAAACAAAGTACAAAACACTGTTGCCAAAGTAATAATTGTAGAATTCAAAGTTTCCATGTACTGCAATGCATGTGAAAGAACCGTTGCCAAAGTCATCTCCAAGTGTAAAGGTATTTCATATTCTCTTATTATTTTTCTTTCTACCCAGGAATTATAAAATAATTGTGTGTCTATCAAACTCTTAATGAGATTAATTCTCGTGTTTGACAAAAATACTTCTTAATAACAATAAAAAAAATTGTGTAATTGTGTTTATGTTAGGAGTGGAAAAGTTCATTACAGACATGAACAAACACCGGGTGGTGGTAACGGGTCGGATTGATCCAAAGGAAGTGTTGAAAAAACTAAAGAAAAAAACGGGTAAGAAAGTGGAGATTATTCCTAATAAGGATGAGGAGCCAAGGGAAGAATCTCATGAAAGGGATCAACTTGTTCTAATGCATCAGTTCCAACTTGAAAATGATTGTTGCATGAAGACCCAAACCATGATGATGTTCAGTGATGAGAACCCAAATGCATGTGCACTAATGTAAGGGGTCACTCATTATTCTTTTTTATGTGTATTTGTAACTGCAAGATCATCCTATTAAGTACGACTTTAGTGTCAAATATTAACACTTTCATTATTTGAACATCAAAAAATTGGCACATACGTGATACATTGATACTGTATAAAATTATTTTAGTCTAATTTACTTTTTATATCAAAATCAAAAGAGATAACTTTTGTTGTCTGTTTTCATGTTCAAAAATATTCTTTTTAATAAGTAAACCTTAATATAAAAACTGTTGAAGCACCGTTAAATAATTAAATAAGTCATTCCTTTTAAAATTGTTTACTTAAGAATTTGCGAACTTGCTCTCCCAAGTGAGAAAATTATTTTTACTTGATGATGAAAAGAATAAATCTTGAATTGTAAATCTTACATGAATGAATAATAGTATCATGGTTTAATTATTCATGTATGATTTATATAATTAAATATTTGTTTTTCTATTCTCAAATAAAAATGACTCTCACTACTACAAGATACATATTTTACATCGGTTCTCTAGAGTCATTTACATCGGTTCTAAAACCGATGTAGAATAGAGCGACGTAAAAAATGTATACATTTTTACATCGGTTCTGAAAAACCGATGTAGATTTAAACATAAATTTACATCGGTTCTCAAGAGAACCGATGTAGATTTATGCTTAAATCTACATCGGTTCTCCTGAGAACCGATGTAAATTTATGCTTAAATCTACATCGGTTCTTAGGAGAACCGATGTAGATTGCATTTTTTTTTTAAAAAAAAATATATGCTTTTTTTGGATTCTTTTTTTGTCTATATATAATGGCCACCAAATTACAATAACAAAAATCACACAAACAAATTATCAGTTTTAATTTATCACATTAAAGATTTCAATCATTTAAAAGAAACTATAAAATCAAGAGCAAACCCCCCAAGGTTCATATATATAACCTGCTCACACTAATAAAGTGAATAGTTTGTTACAAAAAATTAAAGACTCAAACTGTCATTTTACAACTTACAAAACTGCAAGAAGCTTATGACATATGCATTTAATTAGGTATCCCAGAAACGCTGTTCACTTATATTTCTCATGATTCTTACACCCAAACTTTTGGCCCCACTATCTTCAATCACTTGATTGTACTTCCCCCACTACCCAGGACCACTGCTCTGCTACTCCACTATTTGAATAATTTGAATTTAGAACAAAATGAAGTTACAAGAACAACAAGACACACACAAAAGCTGGAACTGAAATCTATGATCAAATCAAGATCTCAGGGCACATTACCAAAGTACAAGTAAAGACATAAAGGCAAATGCCTGATACTTGTAAAATTAATTAATATAAACTAACAAAGAAATAAATAAAATATTTAAATACCCCAAATATCTCATTTTGAGCTGTACTTATCTTATTATTTTATCCAGATATATTTTATAGACAGTTTCCTTTAGTAATTTATGCCAATCAATTTCCTTTTACCGTTGTAATAATATTTGGCCAACAAAAATATGCAAGCAATTAAAAATGGAGAACAAGATGGAATTTAAATTGACAAAGAAACCAAAAAAAAAATTTGCAATTAAACCTTAAATTATAATAGTGGTCCATTGCATTTCATCCTAATTTGGGATGCTGGCAAACAACCCCTAAATCACAAATTAATTTCGGGTATAACATGACGTTCTCATGCACAATGAGGAAGAATGAATTTACAAAATTAAATGTCATATTGATACATCACATTACATATATATATATACAAAAAAATGGTAGAGAAATATATGATTCAACAATGAAATTTGGTAGCTACTTATGTTCTAGGTCGTTTAGTTGCTTTTTTAAGAGCGAATATTCATACCTCATCCTTTCAAGCCTACCCTCAACCATGTACATCTCATCTTTAAGGTGATGAATTCTTTTCTCCATCCACGCTATGTCTTAAGGACTTCTAGTCACTCCACTATCCATCCTATTCGTGAACTCTACAAGAGTGTTCATATGTATGTGCTGAGGTCTGGACAATAGCACAAGTATGCTAAACTGCTGCAACAGAATAAAGGGTTAGAGGTAACTTCATATCTGAAATAACTGAATGCTAAAAGCTTTTTGAAGCCAGTAATTGCTACAATTTTTTTTTTATCAACAATACCTGCATGAAGAAAATCAGAGCCACAATAGTAACAAGGAGCAGGGCAAGATTGCTCTGACTTTTCAAATTAAAACTAATATTATTAAGACAAGAGAGGAATATAGTAAAATAAAAGAAATATTAAAACTAATAGTTAGGAACCTCAAGAAATTCATTTCCATACACTCACATTGCTTCCATACACTTAATTGTCAATCTATTTGCAACCGCGGTCTTTAGTTTTAAATTGTGGTTGTGGGTGCAAATGTGATTGTTTGCACGAGGACTTTGATATCCATCATAGTCCGAGGCTATGCAGTTGTTAATCAGAACCACATATCACGGCCGCATTAGAGTTGTCAAACATTATGGCTATGAGAGGGTGAGTCTTAAGAGTAACAAAGCACTACATCACTAGTCCAAAGCAGGTATAAGAGGACGAGTTTCAAGTGTAACAAGGCACTAAATCACTAGGCATGTTAAGTCTGCAACTTTTAATATTCATTTGTCCTCTTCATACTGAAATTCAATCATGATCAATTAACAAAAAAGAAAAAGAGTCATAAACTAACCCCACCTAACACTACGGAAAAACCAAAGCCTAGCAGCATATCCATGACTCTGAATAAAAAATGGTGTACAAAAAGAGTAATTTTAATTGAACGTGGCAGAAAACGGAACCCTGAATCAATTATCATGCACATCCCAAGAAAATTTAGAAGTCCATTAACCCCATTCTACGATTTTCAGTTTTCACCCAACAAATTTAATACAAAATTATCAGATTCAATAAACTTTCACAACAACTGAATTAAGACAAATGATCACCTGGTAGAGGTCTGCATATGTAATCTTAGGATGCTTTGCCTTCACTTCCTCTATGACACCAGAAAATAAGACCATTCTTAGAAAAACATGGAGATCGACATAGTTCCAACCAATGATACTACTTTGACTAAACAATCAAGTTGGTCCTTGAAGTATCACCTCTCTTAAATATTAAATGGTCTTTAAAATGTACCGAAAACTCATCAAATTAGTCCCAATTATATTTTTCTAATCACTCATGTTGAGAGGAACTGAAGGTTTTCAATGTTTTGAGGAATATGTAGCATATTTTCTAATATTTTAGGGACTGTATATATAATTTGGTTAATCTAAGGACTAATTAGGAAAGAGAGTAATACTTTAAAAACTAAATTGATGGTTTATTCAGTTACTTCTGTTAAAAACATCCTAAGCGAGTTAAATTAAAATAGGTCCGATTTAGCACAAGGCACGACTAAGAGTCCACGACAATATACAAATCAAACTCAAACCTATATGTCCTGCTGTTAATTCAATACTCAAATAACACAAAGTATATGCAAATAAACAAGCATGGAGCACTACAAAATATTAGATAGCAAAATGAAATTGAGTATTGAATAATAATTGTAGGAAATGATAAAAGCGAAGGAATCAGGAAAAGTGATACCGTAGAAATCAATAGCCTTCTTCAAGACTCCACCAGCTTTCTCAGCAACCTTGTTTAGTTGCATTTTGAAAACTCCAAACAACTTTTGGAAACAGAAATCAATCACACCTCAACAATCCTAAAATTTTACGCTCCCAATTGAAGACACGTGAACAATTTTATATTCTACATTACATGTCTAACATAAACAATGTTAAAACGAGAAATTCGAAAAGTACCTGAGGCGAAAAATTTGCTCCAACAGCAATGGCTGCTTCTGATTCCCTAAGCGCCCTCTTCCAATCACCAAATTTTCTTGCATCAGCATAGCGATTCAAATGCTTCTCCAACAACAATAGCTTCTGCTCCTCAGATTGATCCTCGTGAATCCCAGAGAGACACAAGTGCCGCCGTGAATTTTCAACCTGTCAAAACCTACACCAAATTTAAAATCCCAACGTCAGCAAACTCTAATTCAAATCCAAATCCAAATTCAAATTTTCATGTGACAGCATTACCTAAGATAACCTGAAGCAAGTCTCTTATGCGCTCTGGCATAAGCAGGGTCCAACTTCACAGCCTCAAGGCCCTCCCTCGCGACATTGCCGAGCCTCCTGACCGCCGTGAGCGCCGTCGCGCAGTTGCTCCGGCATGCGGTGTTCCCCGGCGAGATGGCGATTGCAAAATCGTACAGCGCCAACACCTCCGCGAAGCTGCCGCTTCTGTACAGCTCGTTCCCCACTCTCTGCACTCCACCGCGCCCAGCGACACGCGGCACGGGGGATGGTGGCAGGGTAGTGGCAGTGTGTCCCTGTCTCCGAGGGCGGCGCCAGTGTTCTTCAGGCAGGTGTCGTAGGACGAGTGGGCGGTGACGAATGTGTTGCGGGAGGACACCGACTCCTTCATGTACCACTTCCTCTCCTTGCATCGCGCCACCGCTTCCTCGTTCTCGATCTTCGATTGGTTGCAACCCATTCGTACTTTGCTTAAAACCCTAAATATAACCAAATTTACATCGGTTCTTCCTAAAACCGATGTAAAATAATTCATTTCTACATCGGTTTTAGGAAGAACCGATGTAAATTTGCTTATATTTTTTAATTAATTACAAGTTTTCCACCGCATATGTTTTTTACATCGTTTCTTGGACAACCGATGTAAATATAGCGACGTAAAACAGTATTTTCCTAGTAGTGTCTATTATTCAATCATTGTCATGTTTGTATATAAATAATTAAGAAATTGTATAGAAGAATGTTCATAGTCAAAAACATGTTTTGGTTAGTAAATATGTAGGGCTAATTGACGGGGTGTCCTGTTTCTTTATCTATATCTTCTATATACTTATATATTTTTTATTATAAAGGGAATATATTTTGGTAATCATTCTTTTGGTCTCCATTTTTTAGTGGACTATTATATTCCTTAAAATGTTAAAAAAAAAAAGATACGAAGTGCAACTATCTGCAACTTTCTTTATAAATAACTATCTGCAACTTTTAATATTCGTCCGTGTAATTATTAAAAACACGAAGTGTCTTTGTCCCTCTAATTATTTATAATGTATTTAGTTTAAGAGAAGAAAAATAAATATATTTTAATGGAACACAAGAAAAGGAAGTGGAGGAGATGAAAAAAGAGACACTTTTTTTGAATTAGTTTAAGACAAGGGGGAATTACTTTATGTAATTTGTATGATAAAAGTAAATATGGACAATATATTATTTTTATAAAATCAAAAAATTCCTCTATTAGTCATCGAAAACAATCTTCCTCGAATCGAATATAATCACAATAGACGACAAAATTTTCATTATAAATCTTTAACTTAACTACATTAAGAATTCAAACTTAATAGTTTTTATTTTTAAAATTATAAATCACTTTTTCTCGTCTCCAAATGCAATGCTTACAATTTTGGAAGGGAGTAAACCAAGAGAAGAGATTTTAGTGCTTTCATTTTATTTCCCTTCCCATTCAATTTTTTAAATCAATTGAGGTGAAAAAATACTTTTTTTAAAAAATAACTAGAGTTTTCCCTCTAATCTATTTTTCTTGAGCCAACCACACAGTTAGATTTGATGAACCCCACATGATGAAACAATTAAAACATTACATATTTGGATTAGTTGCAATTGACATTTTCTTTCAATTTTAAACTCTCAATATTAAAAAAAAAATTACACCAAACCTCCATTAATTCAATATAGAAAATAGGTAAATTCTCCTAAAAAAATTTATTCATTCACCGAACTCAAAGAAGACTTTATTTGTAAAAATAAACTGCTTTATAGATATACCATAAGAAATTGGTAGTTGACATCTTTATTTGATTACTTGTCGAAATTGCTTTTTTCTTCTTCTTTATGTTGGCATGGAAAGATTGGGACACATGTGATGCAATTTATGGCTTGTCCTCCTCTCCTCACATACTTAACTTACGTATACAATCTTCTAGCCGCGTTCTTCCTACTAAGCTGAAAAGGAGCATCAGATTGGGTTAGGCACCAAACTCAATAGTAAGTACCCAACATTCATAGTGCGCTTTGTAAACCACAGGATCAATTCTATTATCATGCGTGATACTCTCATGCATCTTACGTGGAATACTTTTCCCATTTTAAGATCAATAAATACCCTTAACCTTAGATGAATTCACAATAAATTATAAATTACATTTATATATTAGTAAGAAAATTTTGAATTTGAATCTATTTATATAATTGTCGTCAACCAAAGGGGTCATTAAATGACCCAAGCTAACAACTTCTGCTATACATTTAATATAACTATTGCTTTCACCTAAAAGGACAGAAGAAATTATGAAGGTATAATAATGTCAGCAAAGAAACACATCCATTATATAATAAATAAAACTTCACACATAATGTCTCGAGTAAAACTCTATAGAATCAAGGAAGTTTAACTCACTTGTTTAAACTTTAAAGTGATTGAATATGTAAACTCTTTGGTATTATGTTCGATTCTCAGATTAAAAAAATAAGAAGTTAATCTTAAGATAAAGCAATAGGTAATTTCATTATTTATTTTGGCCTAATTGAAATACGTTAATTGTAACTTAAGAGACCATTGCAGAATTATCTTTAAATTACGATGTTTGTGGTCATGTCAATAAAATTAGCCTTTTTAACTTAATCAAGTTAGGTCTAAAAAAAAGTCCAATAAGTTAGGAAAAGAGCAAGACAAATATGCTTCTTAATTTGTGAGATCCTCATAATATTTCCTTCATCTTTGTTTTCGGGGGAAAAAGAGTTATATTCAATTTATAGTTGAGGAAAACTGTAGCTTAGATCATATCAGTTTTAGCAGTTTTCCACTAGATTTTGATGTTCCTGTTGTGAGGCCACGCTCTGACTCTAGTAGACATTTCTAGTAAGACAAGTAAGTCTGTGTTTGTCATGAATGGCTTTCTTCATCTATATGAAATATCTAGTAGACATTTGTATTAGATATTTCATCAAAATATCTAGTAGGCTTTCTTCATCCTTGGCATAGATTTCAAATTCAGTTTATAGATCATATCACAAAGGCTTTCACCTTTGTAACCAGTTGCTTTACCACATGACAACCTGCATCATACACTTAAAAATTTCACAATATTACATCACTTATTCATATTACACAAGGTTAATCATGTTATACTTTGTACATTGTGTGAAGATGGAAAATTGAAGCCCTTCATATTTCTTTTATGACATGACCTCTAGTGCCTCTCTTGTCTGTCCAAGAATGTTGAACACTGTTGCTGCTATGTGAGATGGTGTAAGCCCGGCTAAAGACAATTGGTCAGCAGGTGATCCATGGTCAATATAACGATCCGGAAGGACTATTGGCCTCCACTGCATAGGTGTCATGCACAGCTTATGAGTTTTGGACACATGATAGGTTCATAGAAACTTCAAAAGAAACACAATGCTAATAGTTAGTTCAAATTGAAAAAACTTATTTGGTTTCTTACCTTCAATTTGCCATCTAGAAGGCCATCAAGGGCCATGAACTGAGCAACATGGGAACCAAATCCTCCAATTGATCCTTCTTCCACCGTGATCAAAACCTCGTGTGATTTTGCCAGGCTGCGAATTAGGGAACGATCCAGTGGCTTGCAGAAACGTGCATCAGCAACTGTTAAGCGCAAGCCATGACGTTCCACTAAGGAAGCTGCAGCCAAACAGTTTTGGACAGCTGATCCATAGCCCAATATAGCCAC